AATTCATTATATCTTAATAACCAATGAAAAGAAAATCAAGAAATTGATCTCATGATGAAGGAATTCCCCGTCAATAATTCCTCAGTGATATCAACGAATCTTGTCATTTTGATCAAGCGTACAGTTTGAAAAGAGCACTGAACATTTCGGGGAGAAATGTCAAAAGAAAATCAAACAACAGTGATATGGCAGCCTTTCAAACTAGTTCCTTCTAAGACCGTTCGTTGACTTTCCAAGAGAAAAGAATTTCCTCAAATCAAAATCCACGGCTCTATGTGAACAATCACCTAAACAAGTGCATAATAACTCACAGTGGGTGCATTCTGGAAGCCATGAAGTTGATGACCCGTACAAACAAAAACATCACAGTGAAGGATCACATCGTTTTCACGTTGTGACTCTTCAGATGAAGACCTGAAATGTCTTGTGTTTTGAGTTCATCTCTCAAAACACTCCCAGTCGCATTCCTGTGCAAAACCCAACAGATACTAGCAGCATGACGATGAAATGCTAGCTAAATTCCTTGCAAAACACTCTATTCAAAAATATGAATGACGGTTTTTTATTTGATTCTATAGTGAGATTGTTGTGAACTCGAAGTATAGTAGTTCACGACTGAATTACAGTTGAATTTTCAATGTTGAGGTTATGAAATGCAAAATGAATTAATTCATTATACAATGAAATGATTAGATGATCAGCTTGACCCCTGGAAATGATCACTTTTATCAGAAGCGACATAAAGTTACACTGTAAAGTATTAATGCCGTCATAGAATTGTAGTTGACTTTTGTGTGGAAACTGACAGAAGTTGAGCAGATGAGAATGGAAACGAACCCATTTACTGAAAGTGAAGAGAATAAATGCTCGTTGATTGGCAGAGTGATTTTGGTCCAATCGGCAAAACTGCCAAAACCCGTCTCCTGAAGGCGAAAAGAAGAAGAGTTCAATTTTGCGCTAATTCATGATGAGTTTCACAAATAAAACATATCATGACCAACTGAAGATTTCAAAAAATTCAGTCACTTAAGAGAAGATTTCAACGATTCAAGTTTACTTACAAGTTGTTATTCCCTTCAGCTAGCATAGGTTAACCATAGATTTTAGCAGTGAATGTTGGAAATGAATTGGTGAAAATTGTTGAGGAAATGGATAACGGTGAAGGAGTTGATGAGAATTCCTCACTTTTCATGGAGATGTTTCTAGAGGACGAACTAAAATCAACGAATACCTACCTGCTCTATAACAGCCAGTTCAAGTTCGTCCTTAACAAATGGACACCCGTCTTTTATAAAATACCTTAAATTCAATTATCAATACAGCGGTTTTAAAATTACGTCCCAACATTCCATTCAGCTATGATTCTATCTTTTAACTTCATTTAGCTTTTGAATTTTTATGCTCCCCTCTGCGTTTGTTTTCTGGTTAATTTACTCATCATATTTTTGCATGATCATGTGCAAACGAAAAGCAGAACATTTCAGTCATTTCACTCAAAACAAGTTCAGTCAGTTTGGATGCACTTTGTCGTATTTATCCATCCCCATGGAAATCGAAAGCAAATTCCTTGGAAAACATTCATTCACGAACTGAATGGCATTACGACCAAGTTCGAAATTTTCCCAAAACGTTTATCAGTTCTACAGCAATGGTTCAGTATGTTCCCGCTACGAATACCATTTCGTATCTTCATCTCTAACACCAACAAAAAAATTGATTCATTGTAAAAATGACGTTTCACAGTGAATAATCACTTCTTTTGCATCTGAACATCGTTTTGCTCAAACGATGAGATGATGTGGTTAGCCAATACAAACGAGACAACTATCTCATACAGCAGATATTCAACAATATTCACGATCAGATCGGAAAACGATACAGATAGGTAGGTGACCGGCACTGCATGGTACAAATTCAGCGTTTATGTGTGAAAAATCATCCGATTTGATTCTTCCAACAAAAACATCACGCTATTCAGCTATGGTATTCTGTAGAAACATACACGTACACACCTCTGTTTAAAGATAATTGTTTCGTTTTATCAAGCAATATTGTTTCGCATGAGAACATTATGGTTTATATCACTTTTTTGATCTTTGATATTCGTCAAAACACACCACACAACAGTTTTATGTCGATTTGCT